GCTTTGTCACATCAGTTGTAACTCTCTAGACTTGAGAGGATGAATGATCAGCATCATTCGGTATCTAGGGGATCATGGTAGCTCTCATGAGAAGAACTCCTGGAGTTTTGCTTCGAAAATTGTTGCCTTTGTTGCCTTGTGTTGCGATTTTGTTAGTCTTGAATTCATTCTTTTACAGCAGTTCAGACATATCACAGCTTGGGTTCTCTTCTCAGACAACCAACTCACGCCACAATATATGTGAGGCGCAAGGTTGGCGTCAATATCAACCTGAAAGACCTCGGAAGGTCTATGATCTATTCATGCTGAGCTCTGAGCTCGACTGGCTCGAAATTCGTCTCCACACCCTTGCAGACCATGTCGATTACTTTGTTATAGTTGAGTCTAATATGACTTTCACCGGGCATTCCAAACCTCTTCTATTTCTCGACAACCAGTCACGTTTTTCTCAATTTTCTTCGAAGATAATTTATCATCTTCTTGAGAATCGGCCCCTGACTTCTCGACGAACATGGGATTATGAAGATCATCAGCGCAATGCCATGTTCACACAAGTGATACCAAGGCTCGACGGCACCAAAGCCGCAAATATTGGAGATGTCCTCCTCGTTTCGGACATTGATGAGATCCCACGTCCCGAGACTCTTGACCTCCTACGAGCTTGTGATTTTGACAAGCGGCTCACACTTAGCAGTCGCTTCTACTACTACGGGTATCAGTTTCTGCATAAAGGTCCTGAGTGGCCTCATCCTCAAGCAACAATCTACGCCGGTCCCACTAAAACCATTCTCCCAGCCGATCTGAGAAATGGAGAAGGCGGTTTCAGACTCTTCAACTATTTTCAAAAGAGAAATCTGGCGAACGCGTCTTGGCATTGTTCGAGTTGCTTTTCAACCATTGCGGAGACGTTGAATAAAATGGCAAGCTTTTCGCATACAACTCTGAACCGGGAGGTATTTAGGAATGAAGCCAGAATAGTAGATAGAGTCAGGAAGGGGTTGGATCTGTGGGATAGGGAGGGCGAGGAGTATGAGATATTGATGAAGAATAGTGATATCCCAGGATGGGTAGGTAACAATAGTGAAAGATTCGGATATCTATTGAGAAGGGATGGTGAAAATGCTGGGTTTGTGGACTACGTGGCTGACGGTGGTGATGGAATGGCAAACTGATTGTCCGCCGGGAATATATAAACCTTATGCACAATGAAGGGAATGCACTGAAGAAAAGAAAAAACATCACAAATATCACAAAATTAACATATATTGTCTTATCTATCTCCCAAAATTGTGAAAAGGTTCAGGTTGAAAGCGATAGTAAGGCATCTGTATGTAAACCATCACTCTATAAATCATTATACGCTGCGTAGCATTCTACAATCTAAATGACCGTTTAAGGATGTCGGCCACCCGCCTGTTTCCATGCAAGAGGTATATACACAATGCCAGCCGCTCCCCAACCTTCTAATTGTCCTCGTATTGTACCGCCACCGTATCATACAAAAGTTGTTTCTGAAAATCCTGTTTCCATCTCTTGTCATCTTGATCTTGCGCTCATTTCCCCTCCTCTGCGACCACCACTACAACAACACAAATATCATCTGACTTCCCACCGCTCCATTTCTCATCTGGATATCTCCTCTGGACCTCCCTTGCAAATGGACCATCCCTCCTCAAACTAAGACTTGCCGCCTTAGCTTCTCCGGTAATATCTACAGCCAAAGAACTCTGCAAACTCAAACTTGCCGATCCGTCATCGCTCTCTTCTAATGTCTCTCTAAGCTTTTCTCCCACCCCAGTCCCCTTGCCCCCGGCCCCATTGACCCAAACTCCATTATGCTGCATTCTGTTGCTCACAATCCTCAGTACATCCCCTCCACTTAGGTTATCCCAAACCCCATCACTAGCAAACACAACCACATCTCCATGCTTCAACTCCTTACTCATGACTTCCGCATCCCTTGGCAAATCCATCAATTGTTGTCCCCCAAATTTTGCCGCCTGTCTTATCACCGCCTCTGGCACCAAGCTTAATTGATACGGTGTATTAAAAGCATGCGTCTGAAATTCAGACGCCGAATGCACAGCTCCCGACCTCAATTGTATGTATCCACTGTCTCCCAAATTTGCAACTTCCATATTTCCCCCAGAGTTGAAAATTCCCACAACAGCCGTACTTCCCCCCGCACGCACCTTGCCCGAAGCACAAATTAAATCGTAACCCTTCTGTAACAGCCTTCTTGCAGAAATGGGAACCTCATCTATTTTATTAGACTCCGATGCCGTATGCGCCATGTACTCGCATAGACCGTGGGAGAAATCGCTAGGGTCGACACCTGAATCAATCCATCCCCCTACTCCATCTGCGACTCCAAGAGCAATATCTGAGGTATTAGATATGGGTGCCACGAAAAATGCATCTTGGCCAGAGGCAGGCCTGCGATTGACGGGCTTGAGAGGTACGGGGATAGGATTACAGGAATTGAAGGGTGTGAGGTTTTTGGTAGGGTCGTATCGGTTCTCTTTGGCGCAGTATGATGCTGAGATACCGTATGTAAATTTGGGAGACGAGTCGATGCGTCGAGTTGTTGAGAAGAGTCGTATAGGTATTTGGTAGTTACGCGACGGCCTGGGGAGGGAACGTTTGAGAGGAAAGGACGCCATTGGTAATGAAGATTGGTATCGTCGCAGGGGTGTAGCAAAGCTGGCCGACATTCCAACCCCTCTACTGAATCTACAGAGCGGACTAGGAGTAATTGCTCTGAAGGCAATCCTTCCTGTTAGTTTTGCCATTTTTTGAAATTCTTATTGATGTGAGAGTGGAGATGGGTGCCAGACAAAATGACGGAATGCGAAAGCCAATGGCTCGCAATCTGGCAGATCAAAGAAACGGTCAAGCCTCTACCAGCATACTTTTACAATTGAATGGTGAAAAAATAGACGTCTATGTGAATGTTCAAGTGTGGATAGTTACGTAGAAATTGTTAACAACTTTATAATGAGTTTTTAAGAAACTCAATGTTCGTTCGTCATTGAGTGCCACATCGGATTATCCAGAGTGATACCCGCCGAGATCATTTCCAATCGGCATGTACTCGGAACATGAATCAATCGTAAATTTTGCTTTGATATTATGATAATTTACAACTCAATTTAAGATCTCTGCTCACAAATGAGTTCCGCCATTAACCAACCTAAATCCACGAAGGACAATTGTAACGCCATGCCATTATGCTTTCCCGTATGTCAACCTGATCATGTGCATGAGACCGTAATTATGCGACCTTGCCCCTTAAAACGCCGTAGAATACATACTGCAAGATCAGTCACACAATTAGACGTCTTCAAACTTGACATCCTCATCATCATCTTCGTCATCGTCGCCAAGGTCTGTATCTTCGCCAGGTGCAATAGCATCGCCAGCAGCAACCTCATAGTTGTCAGGTCTGTTCTCAGGCTTCAATGACCATTGTGTTGCGAAACGACCAGTCTTTGCCAAGAAAGCAATTTTCTCGAGTGTCTCACGAAGATATGCTTCAGGTTGCTGGAGTCTGGCACGAAGTGCTTTCATGGACCAATAATTATACTCACGGAAACATTCGAAGATCTTATCCAGAAGCTCATTTTCTGGCATACGAGCGGCCTTGGTAAGTTGTGGCTTACCACTAGCAGTGGAACTCTTGGTTTTCTGATTAGGTTAGTACAAATGTTGCAGAGAAATTTAGGTATAAGTCATATATCTTACAATGAAGCTCCTATAAGCATCCGAAGCCTTGATGGTACCAGGTTGAATAAAACCTTGGCCCACATCAAGATCCTCATTGAGAAATTTCGTGCCGACTTTGGGTTTCATAGCTTCCAAAGTCCTGATGGCTAGAAGACGATCTGATTCTTCGTTTTGTACGGCAATACAGCTCAATTCATGTACAACTCTACCGGAAAGGTTTGTTCTCTCTATTCGAGTTCTGTCAGCAAAGTCCGATTTCATGACTGTTGTATTAACATACTTGGAATTGCCTTTCGAAATTGAGGTTGAAATTTCTTATTGGGATCCCATGGTTGTTTGTTTGCCGGCTTCTCAATCTTTCCACGGGTTAGTCTTGCTGGCATATTTGCAGTCTCCAAAGCAAATTTTTGTCTTGATTTCGATTTGAATCCGGGGAGATCTTGCTCCGAGAAAATGAAAGTATTCTTGACATTCGAGTTGGTAATATCAAGGTTATATTCCTTGGGAACAGTCTGATGCTGTGCAAGATTGGAATTTAGTAACATGGAATAAGAGTCCTATAGCACAAGTTAGCTGACTTTCGAATGCAAAACTGTAGTGCCCGTACCTTGATAGTGCCGTCAGGCATTCTCTCTCGACAATTGCGAATGGTACCAATCTGTATCTCCTCATCCAAATCTTCACTCATTTCATTCCATGCATTCCAAACATACTTGGGAACACGACCTAACCATAACTTTTGAAAACTAGGGTCTTCATTGATCGCCATATCTCCAGCATCCTCATATATATCATCATCCTCCATGAACCGGGGTGATGCGACCGCTGCCTCTGGATCGGGCTTAATGACTGCGTCTGCCATTTTGTACGTATGTAGTGATTATTAAAACCAAAATGGGATGTCGTTCTTCTCTGGAACTTGAGGTTTTCTGGTAGGTAAGTAGTTTGTGGTTGTTAGGAAGAACAAATATTAGATCAACAGTTCTTTGTTAGTTGTCTTTCAATCAATAATGATATTGAAAAGTCGCAGCCTTGTCGGATATTGAGCCAGACTGCCGATTGACGCTAGTAATGGCGTTTGTGGTTTGATGACAAATCTTATACGGTACTACCTATGTACTCTTTTATCTCCTTACTGATTACAAGAATTCCTTCCACGAACAAACAAACGCCCATTTTACTGACAATTTAAATCTTGTGATATAATATTATTTCAGGGCCTTGATAATATACCAGAGCTCCATTCATATACTAACTGGTAGGAACATTCAACCATGGCTTCAGAAGACCAAGCCATCTTAGAACAAATCAGTCGTCTAGCTGGTACAGTACCCCATTATCAAAGTCATCAAGACAAACATTCTTTGTTTCTTTTTTCCGACTTGGGCATAAGCTTATACAGTATTTAGGTCAAATCAATCAACACAAGAACAACCAGTCAACCGATCCATATAATCAAACACATGTCCCTGCGCCTACAAATGGTTACCATTCACAATCGAATACTCGAGGGGGTCATGGAGCTTATGCATACCATCCCTATGCAAACAGTAGCTGGAGAGGTGGTCGAGGTAGTCATAGGGGCGCATATCCTGCGAGAGGATACCGAGGCGGAAGAGGCGGTGCTGGCATCGTGCGGCATCGAACGCTTGTGTTAAACGGTGGTACCTCCGTCCCACCATCACAGTCGGATTCATCAAACGTAACTGCATCTGCAGATGAGAACGAGCGATCATCCTCTGCTGGCTACATCACAAAAACCGATCGTCATCTTCAGTTGATTAACAAGTCATATTTTGAGAAAGATAGCCAGATTCGCGTCAAAGCCATTGAGGAAACCAGAAAACAGAAACTTAAACAAAGAGATGAACGGGAGAAGTTAAAGCTGAGCAGACATTTGCAACGCCTTAGTGCGAGTTCTGGCTCTTCCATGGTCCAACCCACTGGAACAACCAATTACGAAATCACGGTCAACGGAATCCGATTCATTGTCACAAAGAACGGTAGCAAACTTGTGAAAGCCCCTGGTGAGAACTCATCGTTTGCAGCAAGCCACAAGGTGGTATCATTTTGTGTTCCATGCTCACTTACTTCAGGTGATCTTACTTCCGCAAATACTACCCCCAAGACTACTTTAATCGGAGGTGTCAAATTCTATAGAAGCAAAAATGGAAATATGTATCGTGAAGGGATAATCAAAGCCACTAGGTATGACTTGACAAAATGCGATTCCACTATCGCATTTCTTGTGTGAAATCGCTAACTCGGTCGCAGGAAGCACGGAGTCGTCAAGATCAACGAGCCATGCAAATCATTCACCAACACGGGTACCTCCTTTCTTCCCACATTTCAAATTGTTCCTGTATTTTAGGTTTTGGAGGAGGAGCGATTTGGGTTTCAGCTAACCACATATTTTTTTAGGAACCTGTAACAAAGGCCCCAAATGCCGATATATTCACGACCCTTCAAAGGTTGGAGTATGTAAAGCTTTTCTTCTCAAAGGTGAATGTCCTAATGGAGATTCATGCGACCTGTCTCACGATCTTACCCCTGAAAGAACACCGAATTGCTTGCATTTTGCCAAGGGCAATTGTTCAAACTCGGATTGTCGTTACACCCACGTGCGTGTTTCACCGACAGCAATGGTTTGCCGGTCTTTCGGAATCTACGGATACTGCGATAAGGGAACCGCTTGCACAGAGCGACACGTTCACGAATGCCCGGATTTCAGCAACACAGGTACTTGCACTACGAAAGGATGCAAACTTCCCCACCGCATCAAGGCTAGTGTTATTCGTAGGAATGCAGCTACTGGTGAATCTTCTCCCGGTGATCAATCGAGTGATATTTCGAGCGATGAAGAAGACGAGGTAGATAGCGATGACGTTGATTCAGATGCCATTGACGAGGAGTTTTTTGGCGACGAAGATGGAGAAACGCAACCTGGAATTCTCGCACAGCAAGATTACGTGCAATTTTCCTGATACTAACAAATGTAAGGCTTGATTCTGGAGCACTTTTCAGAAACTCGATGACCCTTGTGGTCTCTTCATTACGAAGTTCTTCAAATCATTTTTTCTTTTTCTTTTTGCTGTTGTCTCCAAACTACTAGCAGCGTCGAAGCTACATTGCCGCTTGCTACTAGGGTTATTAGAGGCGTCGAAAACATTTTTGGGATACCCCGACTCGATTCTCCTTGTCTCTAACTTGAAGAATTTTTTGTCTCAGCTAATCGGACTGGGACCTCAAAATAGTGTTAAAGGAAAAATAGGAAAGAAAAATACATACAAGATTACATGAATCCCGTCTCCATCGTTGATCTCGATTTCCTGCTGATTCATCCTTGCCTGATCTGTTTCGCGATTAATTCGTTATCTTTCCCTCGTTACAAAGCGATGTTCAGTCTTTAGTTCTGATTTGAAAACTAATAATAGGATTTGATCATTCATTTGGCGAATCGTGCGATGAGTGATGCATCTACATTAGTGGAATGGTGAGAACTTCATAAGTCCTTGGGGTGTATATTCGTTTTGATCTACTTGCTTCTTCGACGGAAGACTCCTTTGACCAGATACAGTTCTGCAAAAGTGAAGGGTATGAGCGGAGCAAAGTACTCAGGTATACTGTATGCAATGATGTGCAAAGAACATGTCGCAGTGGAGAAGTCTCAATTGGTATGGAGGATGTTGCAAAAATCTGATTCTTGGGATGCATTCACGTGCAAGAAACATATCTCTAATCGGTTGACTTTGCGTTCCAACTGGCCGGAGAAAGTCACGAATACCATGCCAAGGAAGAGAATTTCCTCATTTACACATCTCTTACGAACCTGACATTGCCTGTGGCACATACACGATGAAAAGACTTACGGCTTACGTATAGGCAAAGATCACCTGAAGTTACATGAAACGGAGAGATTGCCCAGTAAGCACTGGTAAGCTAACCTTACCTTGCCAGCCGTATTCAGTTGGTGGTGTCTCAACTTATAGACAGGATTTCAGTTGGAAGCTGTTTGAAATTATTTCTGACATACAAAATACTCCACCACTGTTCCTTCTTTGCCGTGCCTTAGTCATTTTACTCATGTACAATCATAGGCGAAAGTCAGAACATAGGTACTCCACTTCGATACAGCTGCCGTACATAAACAATGTAACAAATATATTAATACCCCGTCCAAATGCGAACCTTACCTCGGCCGATCACGAGAATTACTGGCAGATACCAAGACCCATTCGCAAAATCTTACATGTTGCATACCACATGCATATCTAGTGGTGGCGGTGAAGCTCCTTTGTTCTCTATTCCTATTCGGATTTCCACTTCTACTTCAATATTGCGACTTCCACTAGGCTTCTTCAGGCTGTCTCGAGGCTGTATTTGCACTCTGGGAATGCTGCAGTACGAGCTCTGTTGAATAGAATGATAAAATGTTGAAGCGGCAATGGGTAAAGTGATTTTTTTTCAAGCGCCACCGCTAATGCACTGTATTGTACGTCGCACATACTTCCGTAAAAGGCACGCAGTTCTGGGCTGGATCCCATTCTCATGCCACTGAAGATATCCATGCTTGTGAGCGATGCGATTTTCTTCTCCGTTGAAAGGCAAATTGCCACTATCTAGTGATCTCTGCGCCTATGGCATGTGCATGTCTTACCTTTGCAGGAATTTGCAGCACGCCAATGCAGTGGTCTTTTGTCGGATATCCGAATTGAGGCTCCTTCTCCCCCCCCCACGTTTCAAGGGTCCTCGTATACTATTTCTTGTTATAATTGTGAAGTTCCGCGTTATGCTTCACTCTATAGTACATGCAGGTCTCAAACTCAGTTAGACTTGATAACTATGCTTCCAATCTCTTTATCAAATTCCGACTATCAGACTAACACACAAAAAAACTCTATTACGAAATACTGTACGATACTCGACAAACCTCGTAACACCATAACGTACAGCAGTTCGTCATCATGGGTAAGAGTCTTTGAAAATAGGCTGATAGCGAGATAACTTACCTTGATCGGTACTCGTGGAGTGGAGTGGAGCTGCTTTTCTCCCCGCTCCAATCGCCAAGCGCTTTTTCTGAGTTCTTCACCGCTCTCCGAGTTGCGTAGATCGACTTGGAAAGAAGGAAATCGTCGAATTATGGTGGAAAGAAGAGGCTGTAAGCTTTGCGATTGGGGATCATAAGGTTTCATTATCGAGATTGAAGAGAGGCGTATGGTAAACGACGATTATTCTGTTTGGCACCAACAGAGGATCACCAAGCAAACAGAGGATCACCAAGCGAATCAGCGGTGCATGCTCCTTACCCCAGCTCCATCCGAGTTCAGCCAGAGCACTCAACAGTGGTTTCGTGATACGGGTATGCTTATAGCATCAAGAGGCAAAGTTGAAGATCAAGATTGATACTCATTTCCTGAAATAGTATGGGTGCCTAGATATACAAGTCGCCGCTTCTAGATCCATCCATCTCTGAGTAGCACAGCCCATCAGATCATCACCTATAGCATTGATATTGCTTTCGTCCCAGTACCCATACTCAAATGACAGACCTCGAAGCCTCGAGATCTATCCATCAGTCCCTATAGATCATCGCGCTTGCCTGGGCTCTGTCACTCTAGTTCATCTCTTATGATGTCCTTTAATTCCTTCTTTCAATTCTAACTCGGTCTTCTCATAGCCCCTCCTTTCCCCATCTTCCTCTGATCCTCTATACACAAGGTTAAAGATTTCCGAATACAAGTTCCACATTCTCACATTATCTCCATACGATCCATACGATCCATAAACTTTTGACCGATTCAGACCCTGATGACCGTTGGGGCAGCTTTTGGTGATCCTGAAGTCCTCACACTCGTAAAGTTTCATTTCTATTCGGTCGAGATGCCGTAATATGCGCTCATCGGATACCACGGTTCTTGTTTCTTCGTGATCGTTCAGATATTAGCGTTGAAGATATGTCATGCGCCGATGAATACCATTAACATACTTCTGGTCACGATACAATCACCTGCCTCAATCTGATATAGCTCATACAATCTTGCCACAGCCTGCTGACTGGTGGTCCCTTTCAAGTTGTCTAAGAGAATTCACGAATGATTCCAGTCAATGGATCAGTAATCAAATTAGGTGAGTGATTCTCTAAGAAGCTAAACCCAAGAGAAATTCAAAGCCCATACATTTTTGAATCTTTCTGGTCTCAATCAAAGGTTCGTGCCGGTTGAGGACGGCTCATCTGGCGGTCAAGCATCAAAATCCCAGGAATTCGTGAAGAGTTTTCTCACACCCAAGTACACTTTCCCCGCGACAGTAAAGCATGAGGTAAAAATTGAGACAAACTGTAAACCATAGTTCGCAGTTCGGCAAGCGGTCAACATCGGAACTTTTCCCCTCAAACCTAGTCCCGGTTAGACCCCCCCTAAGCTGAATACCCCTCCCCTCTGCTCGCCTACACACGTTCTAATTACTCAAACTTTTCACGCCACCATCATCATCGTCACTCTGCTACCAAAGTAAACAAAACAAAAGTTGAAAAACAACCCCGCGGCGATAGACAGGCCACCAAGCGGTCAACACCGGGAACCCACACATCACGTTTCCGGTAGCTTGGTAACTTTGATAGCTAAGAAAGTAGAAGACCCGATGTGGAGCTGCGGCTTCCCATCAACACTACAGTAGCGAAACAGTAGCGAACGGCTACCTGCACCGAGATGTCTTCACCGCACCATCATTCATTATTTCATAGTTCGACAACCTATGCCATATGGGTTTACTCCTTTTGAATCTGGTACTGTGCTCCGTACTCGGTACTGTAATGCTGGAAAATTATGTGCAAAACTTCTTAGCTTCATTTGAAATGGACATTTATTGAATGGATCTGGCTGGGGTGAAAATGTATCCATCCCACTTGGAAGATCGATCAATCAATTCATTTGAGAAAGAAAAATTGTCATCCGTCCCCAACCAACACGACCCACAACACTTAAAGCCGACAAGTACGACACCGGTAGATGCGATACGATAACTCGCGAAAATCCGAAAATCCTCTGATCAATTTAATCTAATCGGCGAATCTCGGGGATTTTTCTTCGAGCTTTGAGCTTCGTTTCGAAATCTTCAGATCGGATGAACCCACTTTGGCATTTCGTAATTTGCTTGTTATTCATGCTCTATTATTTAGTGAAATTGTCAAATTATACTTTATCCGTCGGGGTTCTGGCGATCTATACACGATAAACTTATATTGTACGTACGTCATTGGTCTATATAAGAGCACTTGTTATAATATGGGACACCTGTTATGGGGTTGGCAGATAGATCCACATGTATGTAGTCGGAGAGTTCGTAAATCTAAAGGTGGAAAATGTCAGGGAGAGGCGAGGAGCTAACATGCCTCGTGAGGAAGTTAGAACCGCATATTTTGATTCATGTTAGACAAATTTGCATTGTTCTAACGGTTCAATAGACCTGTATCTGGCTCCCCTCCATACCCATATCAAATGGAAAGATTTACGAGGCCCTCGAGGAGACCCTTCTCAAAGCAATCCGCGCCTATCCCTCAGAAAGAAAACCTGACTCTCAGTAGATACTGACTCTGGCTTGCATCATTCCTCAAAGTCTGAAACACAGACCGACAATCCTTCTCAGATCAGGCTTCACTTTTTTCAAGATTCTCATGGGACAGTAATTTGGTACACTTCGTAATTAGTGGCTTTGCTCTTCTTTTCTCTTCCTTCAAAGTTGGGTCTTTCTTTGGATGTTCGCTTCCCGAATCCCAAGCGGAACATCCGGATCTCGACATCAGATCCTAAAATAGATGAGCGGTGAAGAATGTGAAGACCAAAATTCGTATGAAAATTATATGAAAATTCTGCCTCAACCTTGACATTTTTGAAACTTTTGGAAAGGCTTGGAAGTTGGTCATTGGTAAACATTAGATAATTGGTAAATATAAGACCAAAAAGCTGTGTAGTAAGAAGAGGCTGTAGCTTTGGAGGAAGCAAGCCGCGGCTGCGCGGGTAGTCCCATTTGACAGGTTTGAAGGTCTGGAGAAGCCAAGATGAAAGATACACTTTAGGTGGGCTGAGAATTACAGAGGATACCGCGTTTCTGATGGAAGAAGAAGATTTTGAATCAGATGAAATCTCGATTTCCATTTCCATCACTATCTCACCTAACAAACGCTTTTTGAAAATCATAACTGTTGTAATATGATAATCATGAATCATGGGTGAGAAGATTCCCAGCCCCCTCAATTCTTCCAATCGAAACTTAGAAGAAAAAAACAATAAGATCATGATTCAATTGTAACGCGTCCATGGCGCGACTGCCATCGTAAGCAAAACCTGGAACGCCTACTCCGTAAAAGAAGCCAAGTGCACCCCACTCAGGTACATCCAGGACCCCAGGTACTCTAGATGGGATTCAGCTATGTAGCATAATAGCATTTGAGCATTTTTGTTCGCACTTAAGGAAAAGAGGATTATGTATGAAATATAATTGTTTACCCGAAGTTTATTCGGTCTTCTTCTGACATTCTAGAAGAAAGTTTAGAAGTGTCTTTACTAGCATCATCGTAGTCGGTTAAAGCTTTAGACCCCCTTCATCCTGGGGAGTTCCTTAGGGTCAAACCCACTTCACAGAGGAGGGAGGTCCTGAAGGTCCATCGGGAAATTTATTCCTCAAGGGAAAATATCCAGAATGAAACAAGATTGAAAATGCCGTCATACGCGCAACTCATTCATGCGCCCTAAGAGATCATTTTCCTAAGGACTAGGGGTGGTCGCTGATTTACCGATACCTCCGTACTATAAGAGACAAGATGTATAGTAACGGCAGTTCAATTTAGGAAGGGCTGGAACTGGGCTGCTAGGCTTTCGGGCTCTCACCGATTGAAATGACAGACACTAGGGTACCGGATTGAACCCTGCGGCCTTCTTTTGAATAGCAGTAAGTGAAAATCGGTTTCGTACCCGTCCATCTTTCCGTGAGGTGCCTGCCGGCAGGCTCCAGGTAGCGGGAGACGAGGCCATGAGGTTGGATCTTTGTGCAGTGATGAATGGTATGAATCTGTGTCATGGAAAGCTACCGAAAGACTTGAGGCCTTGATTTACCAATGAGTTGCTTGCCCTACCTTGACTTGGGCACGCAGAGCTTACGATCATTTGATTAGGTAGATTAGGTAGAAGTGAACCTGGGAATATCACCTATCATTTGAGGCTTCACATTCACACTCTTACAAAGATACTGCATTCTGCGGCCGTTTGAGGAGGCCTAGTATAGTGAGAATACAAGTATTCATGAGTCGTGAATGAATGGACTTGCTGCCGAATGGCGAGGCCCAAGAAATGGGAAAAAGGTGGGGATGGTGGTGTGAGGTGAGATTCGAAGAAGGCATTTTATTTGATGTTGTCATCTAAACATCTTTTACGGTTTACCTCGTTACCATCCGTTACCCGTGCTTTATTTACGATCTAGATGGTTTGATCAGCAGCGACCATGAGTGAGATGATCATGAAGGGGAATCTTAAGATTAAGCGAAGGGAAAATGCCACAATTGTAGGATCAATTAACGATTCCCTTGCCTGAAGATGATGAAAATAAACAAATGATACCCCCAAAAGGGCTTTTTTCCTCCCACAAGAGCAATACGCGTGATCTTTGAAGTGACCGTTTTCGAGGGTATCACCGATTGCCTCAAAACATTTGATTGGTGCTCAAGGACCATCATTTTCTCGTTACGAGCCAAGCCCTGGTGGTATCAACGGGAAGCCGGAGTTTAACAGATTATTCCAATGATGAGAAAGTGTAGAAACGATGAGCAAGGGTAAAGAAACAATCGTATGCAAAACGTGAGGATATAACCTATCGGCGGCTTTCTTTTCAGGATTTTGATGCAAGCCTTCAGAATCAAGCATAACTCCATAGATGCCCAACCTGATGAGAGCAGGGAATAGGAAGGAGCCAAGACAACCATGTTGACTTTGCGTTCCCATGGGCAATTCTCAAAGAGTTGTAGAGAATTAGAGATGGATTGTTTTGATCCAGTGCCCATTTTTCACACAAATCGAGTCGAGACAATTTGTTAGGGACGATGAATTTGAGAGCGGGAAGCGGTTGATGGAGAAAAATCATCTGAATTCTCTTGTGGTTAGTTCACACAATTAGATCAGGGTTCTAAGACAACCCCCCCCCAAAGCTAAAAATGGTAGTCTAATGTTTTTCTACTACTGTATTACCAAGGTAAATTGTAATAGTAAATGCATTTCGAAGTAGAAATTGCTAAGACCAAGCAAGTTCTAACGGGTCTATTGCCCTTTTGCGAATGCTTCTCTCGCTTTTTGGAATATTCGACAGAAAGAAAAAAGAAAAGAAAAGAGAGATAATCGAATGCCGACTAATAGTGGAACGATGTATGTTCTATCTTGTCTATCGAGCTTCTCTTGTCAAAGTAACCTTATTATTAATGATTGTAATCTACTCTAGGTAGTTGAAGTAGTCAGTCAGCCTGTCAGATCTAATCCATTACCTCGGAGAAGGGCATGAATAATCCAATCAAAGCTTGAACCCCTCCCTCATCATATCATCCCTCATTCCCGTATCGTATGCAACATCTTGATTTACCTGGGCTCGGGTTCAACTGATCAAATGGAACTTATTCAAGGCTTTGAGCGGGAAATCTTAAGATTCGATTGCCTTGGATTCAAATGCAATTTGTAATGAATGCTTGCTTAATGGAACATCAATTATCTTCTTTGGATCTCTTGGACATTTGTTTTTCCCATCTAAGATTTACATCCAAGATGTAAAAGTAGGCACTATCATGCTGCTATGCAATGGAAATGCAAGCACTAATCGTTAGCACCCGCACTTGCCTTGCCTTTCCCGCTTTCATACCGCTGGAATTGAGGTTTAGTCTAAAAGGGAAAGGAGTAGGTAGTCTTGTTTTCTTTTCTCTTCTTCTGGTGTGTGAGTGTACCGTACCGTAAAGTACGACCCCATGCACACAATTTCCATATGGTTAACGATATCCTCCGGGTGCACAGAGTTGGAAATCTACGTATCGCGAACAATAGATCATCGAGATCTTGAAGAGGTGATTAGACAGTCCTAGATAGACCCATGAAGATATACTTCGTTACTTGACAAATTGAGTAATGGGGGGGGGAGGGGAAAGAAATAATAATAATGAAATGCAGTATATAATAATTAAATAATCAAGACTAAAGTGCCATCCATATATCCATACCAATGTATGTAAAGAAGAAATAGCATAAAGTATCTCATAAATCCAAAGGCTAGAAAGTCTCCACAAGTTGATCTCTAGGTTCCTTGAGACTTTCGACTTTCGGGTAGTACGATAAATCCCTTTCCCCACCCGCTGTCATGGCCCATTGCCCATCATTTCATCCACTTACTCAATTACAAGTTAAATACCTTATTTGGCCCATTCATCCATCGACGCATTACTCAAAGAAGTATAGTGGACAAGAAAGAGAGCGAGAGGGAGAGAAAAAGAGAAGGAAGGGTCCATATCGTAACCATGCTAATCGCATCACCCCCCCTTCACCCCTTCACTGTTCCCCTCCAAAAGTACTTATACCTAGTATCATATCATGTCATGGGTGAAGGATTGGGTAAAAAGAAAATAGACAAAAACAAGCACTCGTAATATGGATGGTAGTATCGTAGTATCGTCGTATCGTACTAATGTAGATTAAGAAGAGCTAGAAGAGCTAGAAGAAGAATAAAGCCGCTCTTGAAGGATATTATCATATATGTCTCATTATTCATTAACTCATTATTATTATATTAGTATTATTGTTATTATTATTATCCCCATCATTATTATCTTTTATCATTTCCTTATTTTTAAAATCATCCGCGACGACCCATCCATCTCATGCCCTCACCTCACCTCATTATCCGTTTCCCAGATTTCCAGACCCCTCTCCCAAGATATCCACATTATCTAACCCATATCTACCAACTACATTCTTCTATTTCTACCTGCATACTTGACCTACTTTTCTAACGTGATTCTTACTTCTCTTGTCTGCTGCACCGACTGCAAGCTCAAGTTCTACTACTTGCTGCACACTTCACTGCAACTGCAACTGCTTGCAATTCTGCACTACCACTCCTACCACCATACGACCCATACGACCACTCGAACCAAAAAGGGACCCAACAGACTTAGACTTCTTACAGTCTTTTTGTACCTCCATTCTCCACTTCGGATCAAGCCATACAATCCCTTCCTGCTGTTTGTCTCGCCCGAATTACATCGGAACCCAGACTCAACCCACTCATACACCACCACCACTCTCGTCCCTCACATATCAACTGAGCATCTCCCACCCAATTCCTACCTCAAAAGATTCATATCAAACATTACCATCCTCATAAACAGTCACCTCTTTTGCTATTCTTGTCTTTTTCTTTGACAGAAAAACACAGCAAGTGATTTGACTCTTCACTCAATCATCTCATTGATTAATCCGCCCCAAACGAAATTGTCTTTTTTTCATATCCCCTCCCTACCCCGATAATTCAAGTTTTCGTGATCGTTGACGATCTATCGATAACATTTATCTTTTCTCACCGCCACTATTTATCTATTTTACCCCATCTCATCCGAAAATAACTTCGCTTCCCTCAAACCCACCCTCTTCCTTAACCACATCACCAACCCACCCTCACAACAGACCACAGCAGGAACTTCTTTGCTATGGCTGCCTTCCCAATGCACAATTACTACAGACAATCGTCATTATCTGTCGATACTCAACCCCATAACTACTTTGAAGAGGACGAAGGAAGCATTCTTGATGATAACATCCTCGATCACTCTGCATTAGATTCCGGCTTAGAAATGTCTCCACCCATGGACAATAGCAGGCGGGAATCCTTTGCAGTATCTTCGACATTGTTCTCCCCCAAGGCTGATGAATGGCAACACGTCGACATGCAACCAATGGCATCCAACAATCCCTTTGTCGAGCACAACAGCAACAACCCATTCATGCGTATCGAGGCTGCACAAAACGCAACATATGGACATTCGAATCACGGCTGGGGCATGGGAAATGGTTCGGGTATGAGCACACCAATGCAAGGTCATGATGGGCTTCCATCTGATTATGAGGTCAATGTTCCTATCTTTCAACGTCCCGTGCAAACACCATTCACAAACCCTGGAAACCATCAACTACCTCTCTTCTCCGCCAATGGCTCAAGTCATCCATCTCCACAAAAGGACTGGTCCGTTTCAGAGATGGATCATCGTATTCCAAAGCGTATGCGCCCACACAGCCCAACTCTTCGATCGCATCCTGAGATGTCTAGAAGGGGTGATGGTATCCGAAAGAAGAATGCCCGTTTCGATATTCCAGCCGAGAGAAATCTCACCAACATTGATCAACTCATCTCTCAATCCACCGATGAGCAGGAGATTAAGGAGCTCAAGCAGCAAAAACGTTTGTTGAGAAACCGACAAGCAGCGTAAGTGCATCATATGGTCCATTATTTACATCCATTGACTAATCTTTATCATAGTCTTGACTCACGTCAACGAAAGAAGCAGCACACTGAGCGCCTTGAGGACGAGAAGAAGCACTACACTGCTTTGATTAACGATCTCGAGGAGGACTTGGCCGAAGCAAAACTTGCTTTGGATGAGTGGGCTCGTAAAGAGCAACACTACCAACAATACATCGAGAGCTTGCAGATGGAGAAGGAAGAGATGGTGCGAACTCACACCCTCGAAACCGGCGACCTCCGCAAGAAAGTGAGCGTCCTCACAGAGCACATGCAAAAGATGGAAAGCACTGCCATGTCAACTGTTCCCAGTTCGACTGGCTTCTCTGCCGACTACTCTGACATTGATGGTCTGAACATGGATGGCAATTGGGACAACATCTCCTTCCTTAATGACTTTTCCATGGAAAGTGAGATTAAGGTTGAGAATTCGATGGTTTCCGCCAAGAAGGTCGACACTTCCCTTCTTAGCGAGCCAGAGAAGCCTGCTGCCCAAGGCCTCCTCTTGATGTTGCTCCTTGTCGGTGCTTTTGTCGCTTCCAAGGGTTCTTCTCCTAGCATTCCTAGAATGTCGGATGATGTTCGTGCTGCATCTGCAACACTTCTCGAAGACGTGTTCAAGGATGCTGGCATTCAACAATCCGCTTCTGCTGTCTCTGATGTTACCAACGCAATCGCACCTCTCCCATCTGGTTCCTGGTCGACTACTCAAAACCCTTCTTTGGGAGGCAACGAAATGGTCGGCGTCACATCATCAACTCTTGGAGATCTTGCCAACAGTCTTTCGCAACCAACAGAAGAACAAAACAACGAGCAACTCTTTTCATTGTCTGCCGCACAATACAATGGGTTGACTTCTCAAGATTTCCTCGACAATTCTCCCGCTACAAGATCAACATCTCAAGGACGAAAGAATCTCGGTGAATCACTTGCTGCCATGCGATCGAATTCCAAGAAATCGGCCGCAGAGGTTTACACTCGATCATTATTATGGGATCAAGTTCCAAGTGAGGTTGTCAGGAATTTTGCTAAGTTGGTCTCGGAATGTAATTCCAGGAATGGTCCAGAAGAGTGCGATACCTCATCGGGTTAAGCTTTTCCAAGTTACAAACCTAAATATGTCATCCAAAAAACTCTACTTCGACAACACAAATTCTTTTACTCTTGGAATAAAAACTTTACGGCTTTTACGATTTTACGGCTTCATTGCGAACAGAGACTTTGTTGCTCACGCATCTTCTCTTAATGTCTCAATTTGTTAATGAGCGAAATAGCGAGCGTTTGAATTTTTTTTACTTGAATTTTCTATTTTATGGCTTAATGGTTTTATGGTTTATGGTTTACGGATGGTTATTTTCATTTTCTCCTTTTTTTACTCTCTCTGTTACTGCATCATCGTCATCATCGATCATAGTTAGCGACGGGTCATCAAACTTGGGACTTTTTCTTAATTTCATATTGATTATTATTATTTTCGCCAGGCATAAGACGAACATCAGATCGCAGCTGGACAGCAATGGGAATACATATATTTTGTAAATTGGACGGATGGGGATGGAGGATGGGTATTCGGAGGAGATGGATCTCTATTGGATTGGAAACGGGCATTTGGAACGGAAGGGGGTGGCTACTCTACTCTACGCATTACACATCGCACACCACAAGCTATTTCTAGCAACCAGTTTTCCTTACACATTACCACTCAAAAGTTTCATTACGACTACGTTATCACGAACCATTTCATGAATATTATTTTATCAATACCTACAACGACATAAAGATACACTCTACGCAAATACCCCTCTCCAAGTCTGTTCCAAATTGAAGCGTTTGCTTTGAAATACACAATCGATGACTATCTTCGCATATACATACATCCTATCCTATACTATCCATATACCAATTCAGAATGTTTTACGTTTTACGATCACTCGCGGTTTCCTTTCCAAGACTCACTCACGATGAGCAATGACATGCAATCATGACTGATGAATGAATGAAGAGAAATGAAAGATCTACCTCGCGGTATTATCGAAGAGATATCGAAAGATCTAAAACATACTACATCGACCGATTGCGATTAGATCATCGGGATTTCCTTCTTAAAAATCTCCTTTACAGATTTCGGATATGTCATTTTGATGCAGTATTTTCTATATCTCAAGGGTCTGTTTTTCTTGTACCTAATTCGGTCCTATCTGTTGCTTTTTGCCTTGTGTTGTCTATCATGGAATGGGGGGATATGAGTTACTTGTTTAGAAGCTCAATTTTTTGTATTTAATTTTGACTTTACTTCACATATACCGTAGGATGAGATGAGATGAGATGGAACAATCAGATAGGAAAAAACACGCAGGAAAATAGTCAATAATACATGAGATTCATGTTCAAATTCTTCCCTCTGCTTGATGTGATAGTGACAATGATGCCTAGGTAATGACTGTGATACGAGTACTTGTTTGTGACTAATTACTGCTGTGTTTGTAGATTGTGTTGCTTGAACGACTCTCAAGGTTTGTCTTGGGTTTGTTCTTCTGGTTTCACCCCCGGATTCTGTAAACATGTACTTGGCCAGTCATGATGGAATTTCTTGTTTCCATGTTTGCCCGTGCCTTTCTCGTTTGTTTACTCAAATTCCGATTATCGTTCCTTCTATCTATCGATATCTCCGAACCAAACACCATGTGCCCACCAAACAGCATTCAAATCAGCATGTTCTGTCTCAAAACCCAACAACCAATCTCCTTCTCTCCCTCCTTCCATTCCCCACAATATTACCAGTTCTCTCCTCACATTCTACCTTCCCTCAACTCCACTTGTAAACCGGGCGATCCAATGACCCTTCACTTCCAGCCAATCAAACACACTCCCTTCCAAGTGTTTCACTCCCACTCCCATCCAGGTTCTCGAAACGTTCGTCCAATAATTACCCCATCATTTCTGAAACACACTTGTTTCTTGCTCGCCCCATACTCTCTACCCCGTGAAATACGTGGTGTTTCATCTTTCAAGGAAAAAAGTAAAAATTCTTCACTCCAAGGGTCATGTTGGTTTGTGGACCTCCATTTCTGCATGTGTGAGTTCTCCCCACATCTTTTTCATGACTTACCTAGCTAGGTAGTGTCTTTCACGATTCCTACCAGTGACCCCACTACTCTGCTCCGGAGGCTAGTGCTGTATGGTATGGAGATGTATGTGTGTATGTATGCGTGTATGCATGTAAATGTATATCGCTCAATTCGTATTCCTGTCTCGCATGTAGATACCATACTATACATGTACATCATCGTCGCTAGACTATCATTTTCCAAAACTTAGACCCTAGCCGCATTACCCTCCGTTTAATGCCGAGTCAATGCTCCCATTCTTCCTCGTCAAGACTCAGGACTCAAGACGCGAGAGGATCGAGGTCCCCACTATCGCGAATACATCTGCAGTAGATCGCAGTAGAGTGCAGTAGATACTCTTCACCGCTTACAATGGGATCACATCTAACCTCTAAGGTCGAGTGGCAAAGGGGATATGGAGTTGTAGGTTTATACTACTGCAGACTTTTGTCTCGCAGCTTCGTAACTTCGACAGAGATCCGCAAGTCTACACTAGCAGATAGAGATAAAGTGTTTAGCAGCGGACGAATCCGGTATACATCGCATGGCATTACATTTACATAGCATCGCATCGCATAGCATATAGATTTCTTTTCCATACACTTACATGTCATAACATTTGTATCTTCGATTATAACCTCTTTAGGTCTTACATACGCATACACATAACATCACAATACATAGCCATTTGCCGTGAGTTTGGCATGTACATGACAGTACATCGCATAGCAGTACATGGCATATACATGACATAATATGCAAGACCCTTTTTTCTTCAACTCAACTTCGAGTTCGCCACAAACGCAAATCCAAACGCGAATACCATCATGTAGATGCACCATGCAAAAATCCACGAGTGCCTACACATATCACAAATGACAAAAACCTGCAATGGCGAAAATTCTTCAACAACTCAATCTAAAATCACGTGGAATTATACGTATTGTTGATGTAAAACATAACGGCTAGCCCAGACGAAAGTAGACGGACATCCGTGCCGTATTCCAGCCACAGATCGTTCATTCGTTCATAGTCGGGCCCCATTCATCCCAAGATGTGAACCGATCCGAGATTTAGACGGTTCTAGTACTCTCACACTAGTGCTCCCAATATGATACAAAAGCCCAAAATGTAATCGAAAAACTTCAAACAAAAACTGCTAGGGCTATTTTAAGCACTCAAGCTCGCTGCACCGCCTTGCCGTCATACTATATCATATTCCATTCTGCCATATCACATTTTTTCACACCCGGGCCACTTCCAAGCCTCCAACAACGCTATGAAAATCCTCCATCCTTCCCGCACTTAGCGTCCAGCCCACCTTCGCAGCGACCCAACATTTCGCACTGCGGCGTTGAGTTGTCGTACCATACATGAAATACATACGTATATGACGCCTTTCCCATCGCTCGCAGCCTCGCATGCGTACGTAGATAGCCCAGTGAAAACTCTTTCGAATTGACTCTTCGGATTGGATCTCTACATCATACATGAAAATATGAAACGTCCTAACTCTGAGCCCGGGGTACCATGTGAGAACGAGCGAATACATCATACTTTGAATGTTTGAACGAATGAGAAAATTCAGAGAGAAGAACAAAAGCCAAGACCCATTGTAGATCATGTACATACATGCAGTATGCAACCCACTTACAGCTACATACCAATAAATAAGGCATGAGATAAGGCAGCTCAACAGGATCTGAAACTGAAGCTCGAAACAATTCCCACTCCAATGCTTCGACGCCCCGCCATAATGGATCACACAAAGCCTTTTGCTGTGCTGTGCGGCCTGTGGACATTTCAGCACGACAGAGACTGCTAAGACGAAAACCTCGTGAGCATACGAGTCCAGTTCCTGTATGTCTCAGTCATGACTACACCTGACCTGCGTTAATTTGGGGTTGTCTGATGAATTCACTCGTACTCATGCTCAATTACTTAATTAGGTAAATGCTGACTGCAGCACCAGACTCAACTAAAGTAAGTTAAAGCCAAAGCCAAACCGAGCTAAGCCAAGACCCTGATTAACCAAGGCGTAAAAAAGAAGTTAAAATCAGGTTTAGTTGATGAATGTTGAAATTTTATAATAGAACTAGTATTAATAGAGGTATAAATCAGCCAGCCCACTTCAGACACTGTGCAATACGTCAAGATCTCCGAGACACCAATTCAATGTGACCGTTTCGATTTTGATGAAATCAAAGATCAACGAATGGTATTACCCAATACCAGGCCCATACACGAGGAAAAGCCCCTAGCCCAACTGAAGTAACTAAAATAACTAAAGACCGTTCGTTCTCTCGATCCGACCCGGAGCTTAGCGAAGGAAAACAAGTAAGAACGCGTGAACCAAACTCATTAGTCGTTCGTCCAGAAAAGTATCTAGTATCTCCAAAGAGTTACCCCACTCCCAGTTCTTATTATCTAGAACTTCCGTATTTGGAATTTTACTTCTTAGGATTGTATTTATCCTTCCAAATCCTACATTCATTGTAACCAATAAATATCAGCAAACATCTCTTTACAGGGGTACATTTCTAACCGACATTGCCGAAGAGACAATGAGAACCAATTGATTTTTCGTACCAATGTACCTCTAAAATGCACGAAGGTAGTGGACGCATATCGTCGTACCCCACTTATTAAAACAATGAACGAACGAACCATCACTAAATGACTGGGAGCGGGACTGCCGCCGAAAAGCATACAGACCTTAAGATAACCAGGCTGAGACAAGAACTTCATACAGAGCGGAAAATTTCCAGAAGGGGTTTCTGCAAATACTGGGTCCAAACATGAAAAGGGAAAACTCACCAAGAATTGCCCAGTGTTTTTACACCCGCATTTTCGGCCTTGCGAAGATAGTACGCTGCTCGGTACTGCAAGAAATTTGAGTTAGCACTGACAATGGTAACGGAAACCATACCCAGAAAGAACCATCAGCCTCATCTTATGACTGGCTAGGAATATTTCGAGAGTTTGCAAGGGGTTAAGCATTCGGTTGAAGTTGCATGAAGGTGGCCCCATTGCTGCCCAAAATGCGACGTAAGGGAACCATGCGTACAGCGCAAGCCACAGTAGTTGTTTGTTGGATCCGGAACTGGTGTTTGAGTGGATGGATGGGAAGTTCTGGCGAACCACGGGCGAACTTACTTTATCTTTTTTACAGCCTGGAGAGAGCAGTGGTCAGTATATTAGATCAGGCAAACGCGAAGATTACGAGCTCGAGGTCGAACTTGGTTGTTGGGGAGACATGAAGACGCTTACCAAATCCTTCTAAGTAGCATCGTGCAACCTGTGATGAATAGTTAGTTTGCCTAGATCAAAATCTATGTACTACAGCATTTTAGCCCGACATGACTGTCGGCAAATTTTTGCTTTCAGAGTAGGAAGGACAACTTGGTAGGCTCACCTCATTCATACTATCTACGGTAATGTCAGTGAATGGCCTGATAATTGAGTTTTCGCCAGAGCTTTATGCATACCTGTATCTCCAAGTTCTGCAGCAGTTTGGTAGTACTACAGCGACGTTAGTAATGTACAAGCGGGCTTCTCCGCGACCCAATGATTTGAATCCACTCACTTTCTGAGCTGCTGTTGGATCTTTTTTGACCCCCCAGCCTAGAGAAGACCCAAAATGTCAGTATTACTTGATTAGGAAATTCGTTTTTTGATACTGCCGTTGAGGACCAAGGGGTGTATAAAAATCATTCCCATATAATTGAATCGTGGCAGGAAGCTACCAGAAAATAGCTGACAACTCAGTGGAATATCCTCACCATTTCTGAAGCAATTTGCTAGCTCATAAATCGCAATGACAAGCTCCCCCTTGGCAGCTCCCCCTTTCATTTTTCCGGATTGCAGCGCAAGCTCCTCGACTTGTCCACGAAGTCAGCACTATGCCAATATGAGAGATCATGACAGATAGGAACCTATGTGAAACGTGATGGGATACTCAGGGTAGGTACATACTTGCTGCTGCATTTGATGCTGCTGCCGAAAGGTACGTGACGGCTTCGGCTGGACTGGCTTGACATCCCCAGCCATGTCTATATTGTTAGTTAAACCCCGAAATGGTAACAATCAAGATTCAGAAGAGATCGACTGATTCCTCGATCAGGCGGCGTTATATAGGCCGCATAAAGGGTCGTCTTGACGTACCTGAGAGCAAGACCCTGTATTGAATATTAGCAATTGGATCGGAGTGTGTCCCTGACCGAAATCTTTGTTGGCAAGTCCGGCAAGATCCAAGAAAACAAAGTTGATAGAGTTGGTGAGCTAGCTAAAGCTTCACCAAGTCTACGTCAGGTGAAATTGTGATAGAAATGAACCAAGTAGAGCTTACATATAAGACCTGAGAAAGAGCATTATTGGCACCATGAGGGTCTGCCAATCTTTCAAATAGCTTTGTTGCTTCTTCCAAGTGCCCTTCCTCATGAAGTCGAATAGCTTCCTGGAGATCATCGTCCACATTTCTGCTAGCAACCACGCCTGAAGGATTTCTTCCCGGACTTATTGCCCTCGGAATTTCTCCAGAATTCCTATTCCTATGATCTGGTGGACTGCCACAAGATGAGCCTGGTCTGCTTATTGACCTCTCATTCTGCTGTGCCAATATTGTAGCTCTCTTCTCCCATTGTAATTCCGCATCTCTATCACCTATCGCGGCCTCTTCCACTGTAATCTCCGGTAAATCACTGGGAACATGCGACGATCCTACCTCATGCTTGCGCAAACCAAAACGTTCTGATATTCTTTTACTATTGTGCGCTGATTTCAACGTAGATCTATCACTAACATGTGAAGAAATCGATGCGCCAGATGTGCCCGAGTTTCCAGATTCGCGCGAGTTGCTCCTGGGCCGTCCTCCAAACAATCGACTAGTTCGCAATTCATTATTCGGTTTGTTCACTGACACCGAGGGTTGCAGGGATGATTCCGAAGAAGAGAAAGTTGGTGGTGATATTACTTCTTGTGTATTTGTATCCTTGTGTCATGTTAGCCATGTTGTAGCAGTGAGGGAGAAGTTGGTACGCTGCATGTAGCAGCAGGCTTACACTTCTCATGAATGTGAAAACTGGACCAGCTTCTGGATCGGCGCGTGGAGAATGCGCATCATTTCCTGCGGTTCTATCCTTTTTCTTTAGTAAATCAAGAAGAGGCATTTTGTCATGTTAGTTCAAAGATCTGAGGTTGTTGTTGGGAATAGAAACAGTATTGTCTGCGTATATAGCCTTGTGATGACTGAATGAAATTACCACTGAATGAATATGGCAGTGTGTGGCTTTCCAGCCGCAACGGTTGCCAAGGATGGCTGCCATTACTTACCTAGGTATTATTCAATTACAAGGCATGCAAGGCTTATTCTGTCGCAGAATAGCAGATTGTCGCTGCCGTAGATCTTTTGAGTTCCTGGATGTCTATGCTTGAATTGTTTATGCTGTGGAAAGGGGCGCATTTGGACTAGTATTCTATGCAAGGTTATCACGCAAGGACATATCGATCTATTGTTCTGATTGTTTTCCCAAAGCTCTTTGCACAGGTGATTTAAGAAGGTCAAGTAATTATTTGTGATACCTGAAATATAAACGTCGCTATTTATGTAGTTTTCAGGGGGCATAGACATTTGAGGGGTAAAAGGAGTATTTTCTCCGTTATTATTGTTGAACGAGGAAGCCCAGCTTCGAAATTGTATGTGAGATTTACATGAACCCCTTCATTAGTCTTGCTCCACCTTCAATTTGTTCTCGGTGATTACATAGAGAAATGCCTTTTTTTCACGATACCTTTGCAGAAATACTTCGATGTAGAGTTAGGAACACTGAATTTCGTAGAATCTAACTGAAGTTCCACAACTTCACAAGTAGGGAATCTTCCAAGCTAGCATCTGCATCATGCTTCATGAATATTTTCTTGGGTATCTCATATTCAACAACTGGCACCTTCTTCACGTCCTTCGCTAACTCGGATTCAAGCATCTATATCACGTTGTTAGTGAATCTGCTGCACACAAGGTATATGTTGACTTACACTTCCGTAAGAGTGATCCAGGAAATCCTCCAAATTGTATGAATGTTTGGTAAATTGTTCCGAAATAATTTTGGCAAGTGTTGCAACGTTGGGATGATAATGTGATTGCAGTGTGACAATTTCCCACAAGCTACTGTCGATTGCATTGGTCAACATTGGATCTTCCTCTTCCATCAGGAATGGATCTGAGAGCCCCTCTTCCTCTAAAGTTTTCTTCGCTTCAGCCCCTCTAGTCTCTCGATGGATCATGAATAAACACGTTGGGTGCTTCTTCAATAAATTATAGATCCACGGCACAACCGCAACGACGCCAGATGGAGGGGAATGTAACGTGAGTCTGGAGAGCCTCTTGATGAAGCTTGCGACAAGTACTACTGGTAAATGCGTTGATGATAAAAAGGTATCCAAAAGTCGGAAAAATCTTGAGCGATGCTTCGAATGCAGAATACCCGTGTCTAGCAGCGAATAAAGCTTTCTATAGAACGATGGGTAGTCTAGATTCTTCTCTTGGATGAGATAAAAGACACCAGAGAGTGATAGCAACGACGTTGATCCCCCAGAATTGTATGAGTCGGTCAGGAAGTCCATTAAAAGTTCGGGTTTGGTAAACCATGGCGCAATGAAATCGGTAATTTTCGAAAGGATCATTTTCCTTCTTTCTTTTACCATCTCCATATTCATCACAGCTAACCATGCTCCTTGCGCTCGCTTCTTATGTTCCGTTAAGGAGTAGAGTGCGTGCGACTTTTTCTTCGGTGCGGGAATGTAAAAATCTTCGAGTTCGTCCTTAGATTCAGGGACTGATGATATCGATGTTAAAATCTCATAGACGGTATCAAATGAATCATTGCCCAATTTTCTAGATTCGGGGGCCGTAACCAGTTTTCTAAATAAATGTCAGTAATTGAGAATATGTAGTAAGAAGGCAGTCCTACTCTATAGCTTCAAGTGTGTAAAATCTAACATCATCGTATTCCTCAACAAACTTGTCACTGAACTCTTTCCTAGCAATGCTATCACTCCCAGGACGAATGAGAACCTGAACCATATCCGTAAGAAGGCCTGTAGGAAAACAATAATCCTGACCGTTTCGCAGATGCTGCCCTTCAATCTTCAACATTCTCATGCAAAGAGTTAATCCCGTGGATGCGGTATCTTCTTGGCTCAACATATCAAGAAGGATAATCTTGTATTCTGAGTATCTTTCCTTGAGCCATTGGATCACAGTCGCGTCCTTCACAGCAGTCTCTTTGGTTTTCTGTAAACCCCCAACTACTATCAATTTCGTGAAAACCCGGCATAACGATACCGCGGCGAGAATTGACGCATCGGCACCTTCAGAATCATCTCGTGCAATGCCAATTAGCCTTGCAATGTTGTTATAATGCTTCTTCGACTCGAAGATTTCGCTCTCTAGGAGGAGAATTTGCGCCTGTGGATCTTCTTCACTATCCTCGGATCGTGCCCGTTTTGAAGGCCCTTTTTCTGACACAGCTCTCTTCCTTTTTGAAGGGCGTTTCGAATCAATAATTGCGCCAGGCATTGTTAAATATGTGACGGAATGTACTTTGCCAATTCTCTAGAAATTTATTTCTCTTATCGAGATAATCCAGAAATATTTGTTAAATCCTCAGGCACCCTTACATAAGAAACTTCAAAGTGAGGTGGGAAGCGAATTCCGAAAGAACCTCGTCTCAAGCCTTTCAAGCAATTTGAGCTGCTGTACAATATCTCCCCTCATATCAAAATGGCATCAAGACTATTGACAAGAAGCGCCTTAGGTATGTGGCACATACGGATTTGAGAAATATGCCACAATTGCTACTGGTCGCAATTGACTGACAAAACGTAGGGGCCGCTCGTCTTCGACCAGCTCTTTCTTCCCGTACCCTCCCGGCCCTCACATCGATCTCGAGTTCGCGATCATCTTCCTCCAATGTACCAGCAGAGGACCCTAAGAAGAAGGCGCAATCGCTCCTTGACTCTCTCCCAGGCAACTCTCTCGTTTCCAAGACTGCCATTCTTTCCGCAGCCGGAGGAGTTTCCCTGTACGCCCTCAGCAACGAGTACTATGTCGTCAACGAAGAAACCGTTGCTATGTTCTGCCTTCTGAGCATTTGGGGATCTGTCATTAAGTTCGGTGGACCATTGTACTCTGAGTGGGCCACTGGTCAAGTCAACAAGATCAAGAACATCTTGAATGCTGCCCGTGCAGACCACACTGAGGCCGTCAAGACTAGAATTGAGAGCGTTCAACAATTGGGCAGCGTTGTTGATATCACCAAGACTCTTTTCGAGGTTTCCAAGGTATGATGGGTTGTGGAGAATGGAATATTGCGGGGAAGTTTTACTAACGTAATTTACAGGAAACCGCACAACTCGAGGCCAAGGCTTACGCACTCGAGCAACAAACCGCTCTCGCTGCTGAGGCCAAGTCTGTTCTCGACTCATGGGTCCGATACGAGGGACAAGTCAAGATTCGCCAACAAAAGGAACTCTCAGAAAGCATCATTTCCAAGATCCAGAAGGAGCTCGAGAACCCCAAGGTCTTGCAACAAATTTTACAGCAAAGTGTTGCTGATGTCGAGAGTATGTAATTTTTCACTGTTGATATTTGACAAACACTAATCCAGCTACAGAGATTGTTGCATCCAAGGCTTAATAGATTAGAGAAAGGTCATGGGCCATTAGGCGTTTCTTTACTCTATTATGTTTTCAATAAGATACACTGTGCCATAGTCGACGAAAACATTTCCTCCCATGCATAAATTTATTTCAAAGTCTAATGATATGTGCATATGGATTCATACAATGCCTATAGCGCCCATACTCTCTGTCAATGCCGGGTGAGAATGTCACTTGTCGTAGGGGTCAGAATTGGCCCTTCAATCTAATGTCCGTCTCGCTGCTTTTGCAATCTCCTGTAGACTCCTGAGAGGGTCCAAGACACTGTCATGATCTGTACCCTTCAACTGTTCACAGTCCACTGCGATATTCGCAGTCCAATTCTCGCTAGTCCAACAATTTAGGAAGTATTCTTTTCCCTTCTCACCAATCATTATGTCCTCTTCAGCAAAGTAAATTTTGACATCCAGCCGGGCACTTTGATTCCTTTCAACTCTCTGAGTCCACAGTTCTACCAAGTTCTTAACCATTTCTTCGTAATCTTCGCAAGCATTCCAATTACAGTCATCTGTTTTCTTCAAACACAATCGAGCCTCATCATTTAGGCCTGTCGTATCTTCCAAAAATGCCCACTTAAAAATTAGACTATCCATCTCTTTTTTTATCTCTTTCGATACACCGTACGCCTCTCGAACCTTCTTTTCGGCCGCCATCTGGGATGCAGCCCCAGTTGCCGCAGCAGAAAAAGAAGATTTTAAAGTAGAAAAGACCGACCCTGAACTTGCTATCATTGGCGTAGCGCTGTTCAGAACAAAATTCATAACCGAGCCCCAGTGGTTAATCATAGTATTGGGAAGCTTTGAGACAATCTGAAGAAAGGTTGTCGATGATAAGTTTTGATGAACCCAAGGAGAAAGTAGGGTGATCCTGGGGTGTTTTGGACAGATGATGTGAGGGAGAGTGGCAATGATGTTGAGAGCATATATAGTCCCGGCGCTATGGCTTGCAAGAGAAACATGCTCAATGTTAAGGTGCTTGAGGAGAAGAGGAACAGTCTCAAGATATATGGGCAACCGGTCTTGGAGTGGAACGGAGGTAGAGCCCCCGAAACCAGGTCTAGGGAGGCATTAGTTTAGATGGTTTCGTAGCTTCATGGGCAAGCCGTTCTTGAATTCTTGAATTGACTGATATTGCGACTCATTATCTACGAGCCACTGGGCTCATCGATACTCGGAACGTCAGATTGGAAATGAAGGTGTCTTCAATAGACTGGCCACAAATTCGCGCAAATATATATATACTTGGACTCTGGACAATGCAATGGTGAGCGCAGCAAGGATCAGACGATACACAAACACCCTGCAACATAAAGGGCAATGTCACCCACCTGTCAATAAATATCATTCTCACTCCTTCTTCCATGGCTACATGATCAAAGGAGAATGCCAGCCATCTGATTCCTAGCATTCCCACAACAAAGAGAATAGTCGGCGCATTCTCGTCTGATGGTCCTGCAATGGCATAGGATACCTTGAGCTCTGCGTGCTTTTCTGTTGCCGGTAGTCTGAAAATCTGGTGGAATTTGATAGGTGCTAAAAGCTCCCTTGCCTCAATTTGTGCTGGCGTTAACGACATGGTGTTGTATGTTGGGATGGAGATTGTGTTCAAGGTTGACAAAATGACTTGCGAAAGTTATGTTCGGGATACAATAAAGGCCTTACCTAGGTTGCCTAAAGTGGTTACGCGTTAAATCCTGATGGCAACAGTCACATAATCTATCACATAATTTATCGATAGACTAAATTGGATTTGATGTTAAAATCATTTGAAAATAAATTCTTATTATAATGTTAACTTTACTTGGGTTTCGCTGACCAAGCGGCGTACAGCCAGCCTCCTTCATCTAGATTTGAAAGTGATCACACTAGCCTTTTTTTCATTTCCGTTTTGACAACGCCTAAACACCATGCGTGAATGCAGATTTAATGACAGAAGGAAGTTTTTAGACGAGAAGGACACTGGCAGAGTTAGTTTCTGTAAACTCTATTGGATGGACATAAACTTACGCGTTAACACATCCGTCGTTTTCAGGATTGTTAGTAATCTGTGCCCATCTACCCCAAACGACTTTTCCTCCAGCTGTAACCAGACCCAAATCAGACACGTTGACCTCAACAATAGTACCCCTGGTGAGAACACCCAATTGGGTGTACATTGGGTTCTGTGGGTTCTTCTTGACGCTGATGATAGGTAGCTGTACAGTCACACCGAGCTCTGGGTGAGTGACGTTTGCCTGGGCATAATTAGAATCTCCGTCAGGTTGAACGCAGTAGAAAGAACATACCTTCTTGTAACGTAAACCCATAGGTCTAATGAATCGCTCATATTTGACAGGTCTTCTTGTGAAGTCGGGACCAACGAAAGTTGGCTAAAGAAATCAACATCAGCATATCGTCACATGTTGAATTGCTACTCATGAATGGATCAGAATGGCATACCTTCGTGATCATACGCTTCCAGCTCTTCTTCGCGGTCTTCTTTCCAGTCTTCACCACCTTGAACATTTCCTCCTCTGCGATACCTCTGACTTTAGGTAAAGGCACACTAAACTTGGCAGCCTTTTCTGCTCTCTTGTTCTTGATTGCGCTCGACAAAGCCTTAGCATTGGTAGGGTTCGATCGATCGAGTAAATATTGTGGCAAGGGTTTGGTTGAAAGTTCGTTTGGCGCAGAAGATTTCACATTTCGTTCTTCGTGAGCCTTGATTTGCTTCTTCATTTGAATCTTCTCATGACGCCTCTTCTGTTGATACAATTTCGCACGTAGACCAGTCAATTTCTGGGCATCATCAGATGCTTTATGGCCTTCTCTTGCTGCCTTCTTTCTCGATCTCTCTTCATGGTCAAGGCGGCGACCATGTAGCTTGCGCCATCTTTCCATATACTCATTTTGAGGCTATTGATGATCAATTAGTATTTTCCAGTGTTGATAAACAGTTCCAGACGTACCATGATGAATTATAATAATGGGTGATCGTGGAATTTTACGGTCTCAAAAAAATTATTAGGTCGAGGCTCATGATTATCGATAACAAATTTCTTAGCGCAAAAATATAATCTCGCTTAGTCATCAAGCTTCAAGCTTCAACAAGTTCAACAATGTAGAATTCAGATACCAAAGACTTGATTGAATATACAACGTTCTCGACCTCAAGATGTTTAGTAGAACGATGAGAAAGTCCTTATTGGACATACGGATACCAAGTGCAACACTTCCACCCACCTTCCTCTTACCAAGCCGAGCACGGTTCTTCAACTCTACAACACAACATGTCGAACCACCCATCGAGAGCAGCCATGCTAGCCCATTATCTGCAGCATCTCTAAAGCCAGAGAAATCCTCAATCGCATCTTCGGCACCGGTCGCGCTCTCTTCCACCGCCACCCCAGTCTCGCTTTCTCCCTCAGTCAAGGAGATGCTTCCCCTCCTCACTGCGCAACAATCGCACTTCATAACCACACACATTTACAGTCGGCCCTACCTTGTGACTGTAGGAGATACAGTACGACTTCCATTCCGTATGCCCGGCGTGGTTCCTGGCGATGTTCTCCGCCTCAACACCGCTTCAAGTATTGGATCAAGAGATTACACGTTGAAAGGAACGCCTTATCTTGATGAGAGAATATTCGAATGCAGAGCGAGAGTCATGGGTACTGAAGCCGAACCAATGAGGATCAAGGAGAAGACGAAAAGGAGAAACAGAAAAACAAAGACCGTCAAGAGCAAGCACAAGTACACTATATTGAGAATTGCCGAGCTCAAAGTCAAGACAGTGGAGGAAATTGAGGGTTAAATTCGATCTTGTGGTATTAAGATTATGTACTCTCTTCGGTTGTCTGGAAGTGAAACTAAGACCAAAGTGTGAATGGGTTCAGGATTGAGGGAAGGCCACTGTGGGATTATTATGCAAGTATATTGCAGATATGCGTGGCAAGCTGTTGTCATTAGTAACACAGCCTGTTCTATATGTTGGGATGGGATCAATGTACTATATCAAAAAGACTCTGGATCAGCGGAAGTAGATCCCAAAAGAAAACATACACCAATATCTTCAGCGACGTGGTCGATGCACAAAATATGGCCTACATTGGGCAGAGCACATGTGAAGTCACCTGGGTTGGCCTTCCCATTCTCATACCCAAATAATTCTCTCTAAAAAAAGCGAATTAGTAACATTTCAATCTGTATCACTGTGTTTCTCACGTTCAAAATTACATGCCATTCACTTTCATATTCATCTACACTTATTCTGGTTGTTATCAATGTAATTTTGTATTGCTCGGCAAGACATTGGGCTTGCGGTGGTTACCGATCCTTCTCTTCTATCTTATAAGATCTGCCAGCGATCTAACTGAATCCCGTGATTCTCTGACCTACCAGAGGTCGCTCAATCCCATGATTCCAAGGCCGCCAAATCTTCATCATCATCAGTGTCAACTTCTGCTTTCTTTGCGGTCTCAACCACTTTTTGCATCTTCTCCATTCTCGCGACACTCTCTCTGATGTCTTTCAACGCCTGCTTCAACTTTTCGGCGGTTCTATCTGTTTTACTTCTCTTAATCTCACATGACTTGCACACCTCGGTGATTTTGACAGTATGCATTGGGTGAGAATACATTGTGTCGCAATCAATGGATGTAGTTGGCGATGTGTCAAAGGCAAGTTTTTGGTTACAGGCTTTTACTTCAGTACCCCAGCGGGTGTGGCCGCACTGAATGAAGATCATGCGCTTGTGAATACACATCTTGCTGGTTGATTGGATCTTTCCTGTTATGAAGAATGATGCTAAAGATGATGTTGAAGCTTTGGTAGGCGTTGCTGGAAGATTTGATGTTGTAGTGTTGATAAGTTTGAACTGGAGTGGATGGGGAGACATATGATGGATAATAAGACTGCATTTATAGACATCCTCGTTGAGTTGTTCTGGCAATATTCCTACATTGATGAATACTTTGGACTGTCCTTCATGTTCCTTTGCATTCTTTATCCGCTTTGTTATCCCACAAGAGAGAATGCATTGTTCAGTACTTCTCTTCACTTCCTTTGTTGTGAGAACAAGATTCACTTACGGACAAAGAAATGAACCGTGACTCTGCAATAGAAAGCATGGTCTACCAACCTAGTCTAAATGCTCTGGAGTTTGCGCACTCATATCATTATCTAGGGATGTTTGGAAATATGTCGGAGGGATTCGCTTCGCCAATACACAAGGCATACCTCCAACTCCGATTGAAAAATGTCCACACACGAGTCTAAATTTCATATGAACGATCTTGAGAATTGTGCTACCAAGCTGCCGAGAATGGCAATAAGTGCTTTTATGCTTTGATGGAAGCGATTTGAAACAGCAATTCCAGAACTTTCGAAGTTTGTTGAAGACGCTATTCATATCAAGCTTGATAATGTGTGCTGAAAGGCTGTAACCGTAGTGGTCCTCCTTTAAGTATACAATGCTGAGACACGAATTTGAATTTAGGTATTAATTCTTCCTTGAATAGGCTGCGCAATGGGCATCTGCGGAGCAGGCAATTAGCCTTGTGGATACCTCTGGAGCAACATTATTGATCGGTTATTTGTATAGTAAACTATTTGTAGATTGCCTTTGGGTATATACGATAGCTGTGCACTTTCTGAGAAAACCGCGGAAAATCCATGAAGCGCGTTATCAAACAGCAAAATATTAGAGCGCAGAAAGAACCTTTGAGACGGAAGCGAGAAGTTTACACGAGTTGGGTGTCAGAAATATTTTGAGCTTGGCGGGCGCAGATGAAGTAGATGTGGCTTACTAGTATGCTTATGCAGGTCAAGATGCTAAATATGATTACCACTAAGTTGGTTTTGTGTTAAAATCAGTATTTTCTGAAGGGAATTCATGGAGGCGGATGAGAAATTCAATTTTCTCACGGCTTATGAAATATAGAGATGTCTGAAAAACGCTGATGTGAAGGGATATGCATGCAATGGTAAAAGAGCAGGACTTAGTCCAAGTGCATATATCGGCACCCCGCGGGCATTAGTGCAAGAGAAAATGGAAGGGGCATTGTGTTCGATAGAGAGGGAGTATAGTGTCCGAGTTGCGAAGCACAAATTTGAGTTTGCAGCCGTGAAGGTGAACACTAAAATGCAGGCATTTATAAGACTTGCGAGAGTAGGATTGAGAGCTAGTTTTGTGGCGACAAAAAGGGGGGAGCCTTGACATTGACGCTGTGAGTACAGGGGTGTTTAGACCTAAGAGAAGAATAAGAATGATGTCGAAGAGAAGAATGCGGAAGAAGGTTAGGCGAACAGCGCCGTGGGCGGCTTGACGAGAGTTTTGTGCATCACTTGCAGTGATGTCAAAGAGAGAAATTTACCGACAGATCCAGCTGAGTCCTTAATAGTCTAGGCTGCGGAGAGTATTGTCATCAAACAAAGGAGCAAGTCATACATGTAAGCCCGATCATGCTTTTCGTGAACTACCACGTGATTATCTAATACACATACTGGGGTTCATCAAACCCCTCCTGCATTGTACTGCATATCCACCCCTGCCACCATATGGTTATTTCTCAGGTATTGGATAAGGGCGGCTCCGGCATACCTTTTATGAATGGCATATTAAAACAGGTTCCAGATTCGGATCTTTACTTATTCTCATAGGTATCTAGAACAATATCTCATAGTGAATTAATAGTGAAAGAATCATCAACAGACTTTCAAGGAATCCAGAAGATTCATACGAGTAGATGGTTAGAATCTAATCTGTCTTGTAATTCTCCATACGGCAAGCTCGAAAAGATTATGTACTAGTTTGTGGAGAAGCGATCCTGATTACAATTCTTAAAGCTGGGAGTTTGCTGGAAATACAACACAAATATAAACACAAATCACACACTCATATACACATACACCACCAAACTTATTCATCCAACACTACGACACACTTGCCATCTATGCTTTCATCACAAACAGCTATCAAAGTTCTCACTATTCATTCAAGAACTCGATAGTTCATTGTAGCCAAAACCATCCGCACCCATTTTTGACTGACCATCCTATTCGAAAATGCATCGTTTCTGCAATCTCGTCTCTCGGTCAAAATTGTCAAAATGGAGTATCCAGAATCCTCACCAACCATCCCACCTAGGGGCTTCTCTTTTGACTACGAGGTTCTTTACTATTGATGTGGATAGTGAGATACCAAGCAAGGTACACCTTACTCTACTCCCAGTCTTTCCCTGTTTCATCTTCATATATCACTACTCTGCATTACACTCTTTCTATATCATCCCCTCATCAGTCATATATCACCACTGACACATTGCCATCATAATCGTTGATTGAATTCTATTTCATACCAGCCCCAGACTAATAACTATTTCAGAACAATTCCAAGCGACCTTTACCCCTTGAGTATCAAGAACAGCCACTCTTTCCAGCTCAAGAATGGGATAAGCACATCGACAAACACTCTGGTGAATCACTCATCACCAGTATTTCAAAGCCTTACGATCGTCAAAACAAAAGGTTGTTCGACCTAGACGAAGAGGGACATGCAAAAACGAGAACAATGATTGAGCCACTCGGAGAGCACCATGAGAAATTGGAAAAGATGATTGAGATATTCAAAGAGTGTCTTAAGAAATTGAAAACGATGCTTGAGCTATTTGAAGAGTAGAATAATAAAGTGGAAATGATGCTTGAGCCACTTAAAGAGCAGAATAATAAAGTAGAAACGATGCTTGAGTTACTCGAAGAGCAGAATAATAAAGTGGAAACGATGCTTGAGCCACTCGAAGAGTAGAATAATAAAGTGGAAACGATGCTTGAGATATTCGAACAAGACTCTGAGGAAATGAGGACAATATGGGAGAAGGAAAAACAGGAAATGAATATGGGAGAGTTTCTCAAGGCCCAACAATTGCTTTTCAGACTATCAAGAAACGGAAAGAAGAATTATTGGAAGGAGTTATGGTCAGCGATCTCAGAGTCTCGAAACAGGAATGTCCACAAACTTGATCTGTTAATATCAATCAAACAAGTCACAGAGTATAAGGACTTGAACTTTGGTCTGATTTTCGAAGCTATATTTGGAATTTCTCGGGAGGAAGTTCAAGCTTTGTTGGAAATGGACGAACGTTGTGGTGGAATATTCCGAGTGGAGAGTATTGTGGAATACCATGGAACGCTTTACGCTAGACAAATACCACAAAGATTTCTCCCACTATTCAAGCAATGGCTGGAAGGAGTTCGAAAAGTTCAAAATCAGATTGATGATAGGACAGAATTAACCGCCTGTCGAGGACACGCTACACTAACAGCATCGGCGTTGACTTCAAAAATTGATGATAAACTTCTTCAAGCAGTCAAAAGACTTGGTCGGAGATGCGAAGAAAGCTATATAGAAGATAACTTTCAACCAGCCGAGAGTAATCACAGCAAAATAATCGCAGAAGATTGGAGGAAAAGAGCAATTTTGTCCAAGTTTAGAGCGATACAGGCCAAGGCAAAACAGGACAGTGCGGATGTGGAGACACATTCGAAGTAGGAGAAACTAGTTCCAATGAATTTATGTTTTCGGAATCTAGCTGATTGAATAGAGAATAGGAAAGGAGCAAGAGAGGTGAGGTTAAAGGATCTGGAGGCATCGTGGCTTAGGGTCTGAGTGGTACAATTTCATAGAGAGCGATTTCATATCGCTCTCTGGATCATGAGGGGATGCAGACCTAAAGGGCCTATTTACACACAAACCCAACTCTTATGATAGATCATTATGACAAACGCAATTATTCAATTCAATTCAGGGTCTACAGTGATAGAATATACCCAAGTACTTGTGACAGAGAGAGCGGCTTGTATTTCATGAATGGGTTGCAGTAGAGTCAGTGGGTACGACGAGCTCAGTGAATAGGAAGGGAAGAGGAGTGTGTTGGCCTAATTTGATAGTAGACTACACTATACATATATAAACCCATATCTATCTAGCTATGATGCTTGATTATAGTTATAGAACGGGCAGTAGGCAAGTGATACCAAGATATGCGATTTTACTGGGGGGGGGAGAAGATTGATAAGAAGAATTATTGTAGAAAGGTAGGATGAAGATGAGTGAAAGGGGAGAGATTGTAGAAAGACACTCGAAATTTTGTTTTACGTGGAGCGTAGGCGGCTGCTAAGGGCGAAAGCATGTTACTCTAATCGCTCTCGTTCTTGATTGAAACATCAGTCCTGCTCGCGTAGAAGTTTAGGAAAGTCACAAGAGAAGAATTTCTCGATCATATGTTCCAGTGCGCTTGCTCACAAAGATCTTGACAACGGTGTTTAACAAAATTGATTACATATATCACAGTAAGAGTGTCAGTCAAGAGGAATAAAGGTGTCATTATTTTAATTCAGGCATTCGTAATATTTTTTATCACTTATGTCGACCCCGCTTGAAGCCATCAAGCTATCATAAGCGCCTACAATGTCCCATCCCTCGTTGAAAATTTGAAAACAGAAATACAAACGCTTAATCCTCCTTCAAGACCTGAGCGTATTGAGTCTTGTTAATACGCTCTGGCTTACCAGCATCCAATCCCTTGGTACCAATCTTCTCCTTGGAGTATCCGGCAGCGTATGGGTTCAATCTCAAGAGAACTTGCTTGTTGAGCAATGGGTTCTTCTTTTGAACACCAGCACGCTTGGTGAGTGCGGATCCTCTAGCAGCACGGATAACGGATTGCAATTCGGAGGAGTTGATGAGACGTCCAATATCGGCTTGGGAGACAACGTTGGATGGGAGGAGGAAGTCCTTCTTGAGGGCAGATGGGGCGGTGGTGGTACCGTAGATGTTGTCAAGAGCCTTGAAGGCAGCTGAAGACCAGATGATGAAACGTCCGAGATGTCCACCTGGTGCCAACTGCAACAAGTTCAAGGAGAAAACATCACAGGTCTCAACACCTGGGAGGTTACGGAAAGCACGGACAAGTTCCTTTCCGTCAGCGTTTCCGTCATAGACAACGAGAGGTCCACGTCTTTGTCTGTGACGGCGGCCTCTGAGTTTACCCTTACCGGCACGGAGCTTTCGGGATCCCTTGACCTTCTCAACATCGGCCAAAGCACCGACAGTCTTGAGGAGACCAGCAGCGGCGGAAGTGCGTGCGATCTTGGCACCCTCGAAGACCTCGGAGTTGATAACGAGAGGAACTTCAGCGACTTCGGAGATTTGGTGACCACGGGCGAAGAGGAGAGCTGGGACACCGGAGGCAGCGAGGGCAGAAACGGTTGCGAATCGCCTGTAGAAAATTAGTCAAAGCCTGGGAAAATTTTGAAAAGCAAATTCTCACTTTTGTCCAAGGTTGATCTTTTGGTGCCACTTTCTCCAGACCTTGGTAGGAGCGAACATGCGTCCGGATCTGCACATGTTACCGAAAGCAGCTTGACCAGCACGGTGGGTTCCACCACCAGAGACACGAGGAATACGGGCAACAGCACGACCTGAGTAGATACCACAATTAGCTTGAGCCCTTCTTCCCAATGTAAAAATTTTGCCCTTCAAATTCTCGCGCGCATTCCTCCTAACTCCATCCATTGCTCAAATCGTCCATAATTTATCAAATGTTTGCACTAACCGGTACCCCAGGACTCAGCAGAGGTTTGGTGACCAGCCTTCTCGCTCACAGCGTATGGTTGACGCTTGTTCTTAGCCATTCCAGTGTGGACGGTCTGAACGATATCAGGTCTGATTGGGGAGGTGAAGACCTAATTTTCAATTGCCGTCAGTTTCAATCCTCCAAAAGTTCCATATTTAATAGCCAAATTCCACCAAATCGATATTGAATATTTCGCATCGAGGTATTCGTACCTTTGGGAGGGGGATAGTGGTGCCGGTGGCCTTGCCATCTGCAGACAAAACGGAAACGGTAGGTCTGGAAGCCATCTCGACGAATTGATGACCTGTGTCGTGGTTGTCGTTGGTTGTCGGAAAGGTGTTGATGTTCGTCGAACTTAATTTTGTTCGAAAAAAAACTTGTGGGAGAAATTCGTTTAGCGAATTTCGTTGATAAGGCCTGAGGCCACGATAAGCTTTCCCAGTCGAGCTATACGAGCCAATCCGAATATGCACTAGCGTTATATTGTTCTCTCAAATGTAATGGCGGGGACCTTATTGATCATCAAGTCTATTATCTTCCACCACCTAACAATCACTCATTATTAGGATATTAGTGTCGAGGTACTACATATGATTCCTAAAGGACGATCATCAGGATTGTCATTATCATAACAAGTTTTACTATTCATGTCTCTACTTTGACTACCTAGCATAAATTCCAAAATCACGATTTCATACACTCAATTCTATTACCATCGACATGTATTGAAGACTGCATCTCTTGGCCGTGATGACGATGTCAAGGAATCAGATTCTGGATATGAATGAGACTATAATCAAGTCTCGTGTGGCTTCCTCCTGTTGACCCTCTCATAATACAACTTTGAGTTCAAAGACTTGATGTTTGGCCTGCAATGTGTACACCTGCACTCAAGAACTCGGCGACTGTCCTGGAACTCGCCATCTTTTGAGCCCAGGAGTCACTGCAACCCATCGCTTCCTGATATTTGTTGTTTGTGGCCATGTCGATGTTTCTCGAGAAGTTCATATTGGGTTCTATCTTCGATATCTTGGAGCTGTCAATGCTAAACATCTATGTATTGAGTTGCACTCAATGATCCGGGCCCCTGTTATGTGTTGTCACCACTGAGACCAAGCTATCTTTGGCCAGATTGTTATTACCTTTTACCATCAGTACTGGAATTCCAGGTTAGCCGCTCTAGAACTACTTGTAGGTTCATTCTTGTTTTATATCCTATTTAATCTCTTCGGCGACAACAGCCAACATCTCTCTACGCCTTGGCATATCATCGCCGCGGGGTTTGAACGCACTAGTCATGGTTTTTTCTCACATCTGCCCCACATTCAGTGGATCATATATTTGAAAAAGCTTTGCTCCTTCAACAATAACAACATCTTTGATGGTCTAACGGTCATGATTTCCGCTTGTCATCATATGACAAAGCGCGGGAGACCGGGGTTCGACTCCCCGTCAGAGAGTTCTGATCTCATGCGAGTACTTTTGCCTTTTTGACACTTTTGATATTTTTTCTCTCGAAGTTTTGGGGGCGGATCACGTGCAAGTTCGGGAAAAAGGGGGGTGGGGTGGTGTCACGTGGTGGATATCCTATCCGTCCCACGCTTTGATAGACCTTCAGGCTTCAGGTGAAGCTTATCCCAACCGTTTACTCGTGCAGTCAGAAAGTATGTAATCCCGGTGCTATGAAAACCAAGTTAGTCCTTTTGTAGTTTATTATTTTATGATATATGCATCTAGCATCAAAGTTGTATACTTTCTGGTAGCACGAGTATTTGGAGTCACAAGAGCTATCAAATATACTACTGAACATATTTGCCTAAGGGATAAATTCAAGGTCTACTTGGATGATTAAACGTGACTTACCTTCATTGACCCTTTTGACGCACATTGAGCAGGCAATACAGTGAGCTGGGGCAAACATGGCTATTGTAATTCACTTCATGAAAGATATATGAAAACTAGCTAGTATTCGTCAATAAACATAACTCGAGGTATTAAGAAACCCTATGGTATCGAATCGTTTCACGCACAAAGTATTTATGCAGATTAGATAGTAAGACTAACAGTTGGTATCAATAGAATTGACATCAATTTACAACTGCAGGAGGGGAATCGTCTTTGTAGCCTCAGCAACAACCTCAAAGGGGGGTAATAATACCCACCCCATTGCTTACCGAGGATGATCACATACGTCAAATTTTGAGCTTCTAGCTGAGATATGCTTTATACACTTTCACGAGTCCTCTATTTCTTCTTTAGCTAGTAATTCTTCGCGACGTATCATAAATTCTGGATTATGGATACCCTACAGAATCAAATTGCATTATTATCGGTGGCAGTCTTGCAGGCTGTGTGCTTACCAGTCGCCTCGCAGAGAGTTCAGGTCCGTCGTCCTCCATCCTGGTTCTCGAAGCTGGGTGGATCCTACATCAAATCCAACCTTGAGCAGTTTGCTTAAGAGAAGGGGTTGTTCTTCCTGGATCTGAATTTGTTTAGGGTTGTAAGACAGCACCTGATCCTGCACTCGAAAACCGCGTTGTTGCACTTCTTGCAGGAAAACCATTAGGTGGCTGAAGCGTGCTCCTCCATGATGGCGGGTGAGCTCGTTGGTGCTGTAGGCTTGCTACAATTGCTTCAACTTTCCAGAGTAGAATTGGTTTTAGTCCTTATTTGCCATTCTATTCCAATGGTTTTGGATTTATCAGTAATTGATCAAAACCTCCTCAAGCACTTTGAATGTTCCGAAATTTTTAAGCTATATAATTCAAAGTGTGGGCTTTCTCTTGCGCATCTTAATCTTTCGGTGCTGTGTTTTTTTTAAGGGCATGTATGTCGATTGGATTGTCAACACAGCTTTGCCTATCGAGACCCTCGAGAAAGCTCTTCCTGAAAACAAAGAACTTCTAAATATAAT